ATGAATAAATAAGATAATAAAATATATAAACATATAAATAAATAATTAATAAATTTAAAAATAAAATAGAGATAACAACATTTATCAGATATCTGATATATATCAAAAAATATATATCGGATACCTATTAGATACTATGATAGATATCCAATACATCAGATTTTAATCAATATTATCTGTAGTAAAGGTATTATCAAAATAATTAATGGTGGGAGAATATTCAATAAGTTTTTTCATTTGTTTCTGTTTTAGTTTAGAAGTTCCAGCTAAAATCCTAAAACTACTGGACTTAGTTAATAGTATTTATTGTTTCCTTGATATACTTGGTCTCTAGAATATGAAAATGATTTATTTGACAAATATGTACTGTCTGATATAATTGTTTTTGGTTTAGAAGATCTAAAATAGTCTCCTTCTTTGATCTGTTGTGTTAAATTAATTGTTCAAGTATTAGGGTCTACTTGTATTGTAACTGTACTTGATTGACTAGAAGAAAAATATGAAAGTGAAGAGTATAGTAAAGTTGACTCAACAGGTAGTTCAAGGGTACTCGAAGTGAAAAGACTAATAGTAGTAATTTTAAACTTGTCCTCTTCCTCTAATAACTTTATAGTGACTGAAAAAGGTGACAGATAGGTGTTAACTGTAGGTGAGGAATTTTCAATTATGTTTTGACTAGAAATATTTGATTTTTGCTTTTGCTTAATATTTTGTAGTGTTTGTGACTTAGGAATAGTAGTTTTTCTTGTTTTTTCAAACAAAGTAGTGTTTACAGGTAAACTAGTTACAAAAGTAATTGAAGGATTATTAGACTGGATCTTTTTATTCTCAGGAACAATAATGGAGAATCTTGAGGTGATATCATTATAGAGAGTGGTTGTGGAGTATAAATAGTTTGTAAGAAATCAATAAGAGTTTTTGAAGGTGCCTGTTGTAACTTTTTGGTAATGTACATGATAAAGAATTCAGTTGGTGGTTAGTAACTCAAAACCATAGATTATTTTATTATTGAGAAGATTAATTTAATAAATAGAAAGTATCTTTTAAAAGGTTTAAGTCATCCAATATCTTATAACAATTATCTCAAATTCAGAAGAGTACAGGATCTTCAGTTTCAGATGTTTGATTAATTATAGCTTTTATTCTTTGTTGATAAAGTTTAGCTATTTCTTTAATAGTTTTATTAAGCTCTTTAATTTGATCAGCGTGAATCATAGGAATAAATTACTAATACTAAAAAGGTAAGAAGATAATTACATAAAATTATAACTAACTAATTAAGACTTTTGTATAAAAAGATAACTAACTAAAAAAGAATAAATTATAAAATATTATATTAGAGATTATCAAAATATAGGATAAGATAATTATAAAAATTTTGATTTGTTTCTATTAGAAGGTATCAAATTGTTACTAGTCAACCTTTTGAACTAATTTTATTTTTCAAAAAGTAATTTACAACTAGCAACTCGTAAACAGTTACTTTAGTTTACGAATTGAAAGAAATAATTTTAAAAGAATAAAAAAATATCTTTAAGTTAAATACTAAAACTAATCAAAGAACTTAAGAATTTATGATCACGGGATTTAAATTATTGATTAACAGTAAATTTTAAAGGTTGATTTAAGAAATTAAGACAAGAGTTAAATAAGTTTATCAATGGTTTATAAAATAATAACAGAATTTTTTGAATCAAAATTTATATTCAAAGAATATAAATTAGTAGAAAATTAACAGAGTTTTAATATAAAAGATATAAGTTTATTACAAAGAAAATCAATAATTCAGTTACTTTAGGATTATAAAAATATTAATTCAATTATAAAATTTATTTATAGTTAAGATTACTTTCTAAATTTCACTATTTAGAATGATTCGAATCTTATTTGAATCTATTTGAATCTGAGAGAAAATTTATCTTTTTTATAATATTTGATTTGGCCAGTAAGTTGATCAGTAAATTAGTCAAAATCTTGACCAGTAATTGTGTCAATCAGTTGGTCACTAAGTTAGTCAGTAAATTGATCAATAACTGGGCCACTATAATCTACATTATTGATTTATATATTTTGTATTACACTAATAAATACTAATTATAACTAATAAAATATACTAAATAATTATATTAATAAAATAACAAAATAAGAAATAAAATAAAATAATAAGAAAATTATTAAAATGGAGAAAACTCATGGTAACAATGTTACACTTAACTTCAAGACATTCGTTCTTTAGTTTTTTGCTCCTTTTTTTTATAGCAGTCAAAGTAGTAATGTGAAGGTGTGGTCAAAAAAATAAATCATGCCACATTTGAGTATAACTCATTAAGCAAAATGGTATAAAAATTGATATGAGAAAAAAACTTCTTGTGTGATGAGAAAAGTAAAATGCTATACAGATTAAGGCACTGATTTCTGTTTCAATTCTTTTAGAAACATACTACTAGTTACTTCTCAAGATTTGTTTGATATACTTATCTATATTTTCAGTAAGCTCTATATAATGATTGTAATTTTCTTTTGATCAATATGAAATGAACAATTAAGAAATAGTAATCATTTTTAACTAGATAGCTCCAGTTACTTCATATTCCTAAATGAGTATGTACTTCTTTACACATTGGACATTTAACTTCTAAATCAATGTATTTAAAAATATCTCAATACTATACATTTGAATTAATATATGACAAAAAAGAAAAATGTTTATGTATTGCATTATGGATTATACTTTTTTTTTCTGGAAACTTAGAAAATTGATAATACAGTTTTGTAAAGGATAATTATTGGTATCTTCTTCAATTTGTTTAGATTCAAAAGTTTCAGAATTTATTAAGGAATCAAGTTCAGTTTTTTTCTTATATCTTCTACAAAACCTAGAACAAATTTTATTTGTTAAAATGCATTACAATTCTGTTAATTTAGTTTTCCACTCTAAATATTTGAGAGTTAATATATTCATATTGCTATTTTATATAATCTCACATCTCTTTAAATTAGTAATAACTGACAAAAAAAAATATACACTGTTTACTCACAAGCTCGTGTTCAAATTAATATAGTTAACTTTTTATTATATATATTTATTCCAACAATAAGCAAAATGAATTGGTGGAACATAAGATAAAGTTTATGCTGTTATCTCAATTTTAATTCTACACCATTCACATTTAATAAAATAGGATCCAGTTTTATATCTGCCTTTTATACCATAATCATCATAATGATCTAACTTGTATAATGGACATAAAGATTCATCAGTAATTCCATAATAATTATTATTTCCATCACTACCTTTCCAATATTAATCAGGATATTGTTCTGTCATTTTATTACAGAAATTGGCATGGTCATGAGTCAGATTGGATGATGTACTTATCTTAATTGATTCCTTTGAATTTGTTTCTGGTAAAGAGTTAATTTCACAGCATCCCTTATCAACATTGTTATTATCACTAACAGAGGAATCTCCATTATTATCTTTATCATCGTTATCAGCATCATCCTCATCATCATCAGAGGATTCCAAATTAGAATCCAAAGAATTATTGAATACACTTGTCTATATCTCAATTGATTCCTCTGGAATTATTTCTGAGATAGATAAAGTGGATGTAATACTCACCTCAGTTTTCAATAAAATTTTTCCACCTACCTTACTGTTTGACAAATCGGTTAAACTAGATGGTTCTGACATATGCACGTGACAATTTTGTCATGCTGATCACTTTTATTTTGGAAGAAATGATACTCTGTACCTGGCAATTCATATCATTTGACTTCTTGAAAAAATCATGTATAATATTTTGAATTTGAATATCCTTTAGATTTGAAATAGCACTTGCGCTATAAGTCACTTGACTAATTTTATCTATTCCTATTCCTTTATATAATACATAAACTTTTTAGCTCTGGAAGTTATTTTACACAAGTTTACATTGGTAAAGGAAGTAGTGATTTGATTTCATTATACACTATCGTTCTTGCCAATTGGTCATTGATATTATTTGCAAACTTAATATCACTGACTTGATTCTCATATGCTTTATAATAACAGTACCAGCATAAACTCTCCTTTTGTCTAACCTTCATTGCTACCCTAAATAGATCAACTATATTTTGCGATGTAACCTTACTAGATCCTGTTAAAATCGCTTCTAAAGAGTTTGAATATCAAATACTTTTTTAATTTTATTGTTGTTATCTTTAGTGCACATAAATAGTTCATGTCTTAAATCTCGTTCTACTTTTTGATTATAAGGAATTTTCAGATTTGATTGGTGAAGTTTCGATACTCTAACTGATTTTTTCATTATGGTTAAGCTTTTCTTCCTGAAAAGCTTCATGATATGAGGATGCTTTCACATCTGGAAGTATCTTGAAGCTTTTTTTCTCGATTTTTTTCTCTTATTTCGTTACTAACATTTTCTTTATGTACCCGATCCAGAAAATTATCCATTCCTTTATCATCTAATGATTTAGGTTTTGCACATATAGTTGATACAGAGCAATTACGGGATAATGAAACTTTCGTTTCTTGAGTCAAAGACCCCAAATATACATCAGAATTTGAAGTATTATCAGTTATATTGGATGCGGGAGTATCATCACATTGTAAGTCCATCTGTTCAGGGGTATATTTGGAATTTTCCATTTTGGTAGAGGCGGTATCAACCGAAGATTGATCGATTCCCTTGGTATCATTATCTGATTTAACATTAGAGTTATTGAAACTGGCTTTGTTCCAATTTCGCAACTCTGACAACGGTATCTTTATGTTCTGCTCCAGTTTAGTAATAAGGTTGGTTTTTTCTTTATCTTTCTGTTCTAGTTTCTTAATTCTAGCTTCATATTCAGCTTCACGCCTAGTGCTTTGTTTTATTGTATCTTTGAGCTTCATGTTTTCAGCCTCAACTTCGGCAAATTTCTTTTTAAGTTCGGAATCTCAGCATTCTCAGTTTTAACTTTGGTATTCTCGGCCTCAACTTCAGCAAATTTCTTTTTAAGTTCTAGAATTTCGGCATTCTCCTTTCTAAGTTCAGTAATCTCGGATGCAAGCCTAGAGTTTAATTCTCTCAAGGTGTTGATTGTTGATTGATCGTTCGACATTGTTTATTACAAAATAGAATATATTCAAAAGGTTAATCACATGAAATAATATTGATGTAAAAATCGTGCTTTGCTTTATTGATTATAATAAAAATCGAAAAGAATCAATCTATCTAATGTTTCTATACTATTGCCTACAATGTAAGTTTTTCGTTTGTCTAAACTATAATTATTATCTCAGTATTAACTATAATCTGGTTTAAATGGTTTCAGTCATACTTACACGAAGCATTTAGTGTCAAAAATGAATTAAAAATCCCACCAATTTATTGTATGCGAATATAAATCAGTTGGTTATTAGTTCATTTAAACAAGAAAAATTGAAAGTTGGATTTACAAACATAGAAGTTGAAAGATAAGTGACGTATTCGGCAAAAATAAAATTTCAGAATAAAGTTGAAAGGAACTGTCATTACTTTATGTGTTTTCATGCTGTCGCTCCAAATATAGGATTTAAAATCATTGTAATACATATTTCAAACCCGTGACTTGTGGTACTATAAAAATTGATTTGTTTCGCGTCTTTCGTGTCTTCGTGTTTAACCTTTAACCGAAATTTCTTTACAAACATGTCAGAATACGCTTGACTGGATTTTTACCGCGACAATATAATTGATGATTGGAATTGTCTTAAAGTAATGGACTTTTATCGTACAAAGGTAAAACAAAAGGACTTGAAAGGAGTGCTAAATCTTATACATAAAGATCTTTGAGAGGTGGCGAATTCTGATCCTGGATTTGACTTGGCGGGGGGAAGCAAAGCTCGAAATATACTTGATAACCGGAAAGTATGTTGCTGTTAAAGTAGGATGAATGGATTAAAAGCTCTTTGTCTGAACAGTGATGAACTGTAGGTCGACACTTAGTGCAAGCTGGGACTGCAGGTCTTATAAAGATGGGCCTTAGTCCAATACTTCCAATACCTCTTTAAGTATTTCTAATGATACACTAATTTTTCTTTGTTTCGTCAAGAGCTGGACTGCAACAGTAAAGAACTTTAAAAAAGATCTCGAACAAGTCAAAATCGATCGTCTGCAGATAAACCAACTTTCAACTGGAGATGGTACAACATACAACAATTGTCACATAATTTCGGAGAAACATTGTCGAGATGCGGGTGATGATGAAAAAAAGAAAACCGAAGGAGCTGCAATTCCGGCAAAAAAGGTGAGATCAAGCAACATTATTAACTTATTACTTCCTTCACAATAGATAACTGAACACCGACAATTATATATGATAAAAATAACCAATTGATATTTTTGCCATTCTATCCCATAAATCAAGTGTAAAACTGAATCCGAAAATAGAACAAGAATTGGGAGAACTGTTGTGCCGAATTATGGTCATTTTTATTTCGGGTCGGTGACAAATGAAGATTCCGATACTTCGGAAAATTCTTCACAAGGATCTTTTAGTAGTTTAGATAAGCTAAACGATGAGTTGGCTATTCAAGAGAACGACCACTTTGATAAAAATCAAGAAATTCAAAATGATGATGTAAGCAAATTGTTTAATAATATTCTTTTTCTTCGGAAATTAATTGTAATATTAAAACGTTATTTTTATATTATTCTAACCCATTAGCAGAAATCTTTAACATTAACTTCAAGTATCATTGAAACAGATGTAATTGTAAGTGTATAAATTCTTATCTATAGTGTATAGTATCGGAAAATATATTTGATAAAATGTATTTCTTTCTGTAGGAATCAAATAATTTATTCTGGAATAAGATTAGGATATAATTTAACTTTTTTATCTCTAACTTTTACAAGAGGCAAACTAAATTAATTTTTATAGGAGGATATATCATCTGACGGCATCAAAATTAAAAACCAAATCGTCTAAATTTAATATCATCAGATAATTCCTCTCAAGAGACTGACGATGATGAAGATATACCTCCAGAGGATTCATTTCTCTCTGCATCTAGCGGTCCAAAAGTTTGGATCTTGCCTTCGGGTCAGAACGTTGGGGACATCTATGCTAGCAAGATATCTGAGAATGCAAGAGCAACTAAAAAAAAGAAGAAATTAACAGCCATTGAGAAAGCTATATTGCGCTATGGTGCATCAAATATAATTGATTTGTCCGCTCACATGAAGGAATGGTTTTGTATTGATGACAGAAAATTCATTATAAAAGATTACGAATCTATGTTACGAATTCCTGAGATGGCAACCGAAGAGAGCTCATTTGTTTAGAAAATTGAGGATGTATGGGTTTTATTTTTCATAAATTTGGCTTGTTTTCTATATTTATACATGTTAATTCGCTTTCCTTGTAGTTGGTACGTAAAGGAAAAATAGATCAGGCACACGAATACTGCATGGACACTCATGTTAAATCCGAAAAAAATAGTTTTTTATATAAGATGAGCAAAATATATGGTGACTTGTGAGTTATTCAGTACTACCCGGTCTTTATTTTTTTTGTGGATCTAATTCTTATTATTCAATGTATTCAGCATTTACAAGAGCGAAGATCAAGTGAATATCTTGAATGTTATTCTGGAAAGCACACACACAGAAATTGATGTAATTTTAAAAGCATGTGCATGCATGGTTGAAGGACCGAGCAAAAACCTTAAAGTATATTCTATATGGATTGTATAAATTTATTTTGTTTATGATTCCTACTATATAGCCATCCTAACAATTTTAACAATTTTAAATTATTCATTTAAGGGGGAATCCTTTTGCCCGTTGAGCAGGAGTACAGATTACACCAAGGGACGTAAATGTGATGTTCGTTTCATATCGGCATTAGGGGTTGATGTTGGAGAATGGGAATTTTCTGCAAAAGCTATAGCGAATAAGTCCATTGGTGAAAGATGCCATTCCGCTCGAATAAATCAATCGATTTTGAACGGATTGCTAGAATGTAATCTCAATGATGAACAAGCTAAGAGTATCCAAATTCCTTTTTGCAGTTTGTTGGCACAAGTGGCCAATTGTTAGTTGAGGATTTAATGGAAATTTTTTATTTTGTCTTTCCTGGACCAAAGTTTGAATTGCCCATAAGACTTCGAGATATCGGAAAACTGAAAACTGCTATAAATGTTATCAAGTTAGTCATGGTTGATTCTATTTCTGTCATTGAAAAATTTATATCACCAATCTATTTTAACATGATATGTTGTGCAGACATGTATGAAAAAACTTGTGAAACTATAGAAAATCTGGAAACATTTCATCATGATTTTGACGATATATTTGATGAAGATTATCACGTAGACAAGCTTACTCATTTTAAGTACAAAGACCCCAAAAAATTCTCTCTGTTCTAAAAATAAAAATGATGTTTAACGTGGAATCATAAAATTTGAAGACGAATATGTATTTGGTTTACCAATAATAAAGGTAGCTTACATTGTCTTTTGAGCTATATTTGGTGTTCTGCAATCAAATAAGTACGTCATTATAAATTCTGAACTTTGATAATGATATAATGATCCAAATTTTTGAAATAAAATCGCGCGTTACAAATTGTAACAGATCACTTTTGCAAAAAAAAATTCTCGATCACACGCAGGTAAATATATCAGAAAGCAGATAGGACATTTTTTCTGAATTTGTTTAATAAATTATTTTTTCTGGTTGTGCTTGATTCGCTAATACAAAAAATATATAGGCACATAAATACCAACGAAGCTACACGTTGCGTCTTCACTACATCAATACTCCGATGACTTACTAACGAAGAGAAAATCTATATAGCATACCAAAAAGGAGTTTCAGGTGAGGGAACATCTGGTTGTGTCGATTATGCAATAAAAGGAAATGAAGATCTCATGTGTATAGCAGAAAGGAAGCCTCGTAAAGTTGAAATTGGTTACCTCCAGAATATCATGCAATTAGAAAGTGCATACTGTACTAATAAAAAGAAACACACAGCAGATCAAGCTTTTAAAGATGATGATTATGACTATCTTTACAGAATAGTTTCTACAGGTATTGGCCGTGCCAGCTCCGCTGATAGATTCTAACATCCAATCATTCCCACAAGCGACTCTACGAGTCATAGAATTTTAATTTACAAATTTTATTTATTTTTTAGCCACGGAATGGCATTTTATCACTTTTACCACTGATGGACTTTACTGCACCAGTAAAAGCGAATATACGATTAACCTGTCTAAAACGGCGCTTAAGGAGGATCTTGAATCAATTCGAAAAGGGGTGAAACAGGTATTAGGTGTCGTGGTGGGATTATTAAAGGACCGAATTAGTGTTGATAATTCTCCAGCCAGTAAAAGAAGCCGAATCAAAAAATTTACAAAAAATAGGGGTTAGATAGTTTTCACCTCATGTATTTTAGATGCCCTAGGCATCAGCTCCGCTATATTGTATTAATAAAGCAATCAGACCTAAATGGTCATTTTTTCCGATAATTAATTTTTGTGCGTGGTGATAAGGAGTGTTTCATTTGGGATCATCATTCCGAGATAATTGAGATGCAATATAGGTGCGATGAAGATGCAACGTAGATACGACAGATTTTTTTCTTATAAAATTCTATGAAAAATAACACATTATAGTTAATGGCTTGATACATAGCTGCAAGTAGTACTGGAAAGAGAAGTAGAACTGGTGAGTGATATTTTGAAGAATTTAGTTCTCATTTTTGGGAAAGACCTGGTAAGTGGATTATAATCGTTAATAGCATATACACTCTGTTAATATGGAAAATAAATTCTAAATATTTTTGTTTGAATGCGAAAAATGTTAAACCCCATTTGACGTATTGCGTAATGAAAACGCATCCGTGAGAAGACGTTACCGTAATCGTACACCACCACCAACTTATAGAGAAGTGACACCAATGTCAAGCCGTCGTGAATTCACCACCAATCAAAAGAATCGATCCGCGTTTTCTGCCCGAAGAATTCCTAGTGAAAGGGATGAGGATAGTAATCGAATAATGTAAATGATGCGGGTGGAAATTTAGGCTCTTCGAACCATTGCTCTGCAATAGATAATGCGACATACTCATCTTCATCTGCATCACAAAATGATAGTAATATTAGTATGGAGAAGATAGTCAGCAACTGAAATCTATAAATGAGGAGGGAAGTTAGACTTCGTTTAGTTACTGTGTAAATGCGAAGCCAAAAATAAAGCATTACTTCGTAGTTAAAATTGCTTGTATTGAATGTTTACCTGCTGAAATGTATTTCGTATTTGATACGCTTGTGAAAGCATACAAGTTGCCAAGATTTTGATTCTATATTCATGCACTCCCAATTAATTATCTCGACGTGGACTTAGCTGGCGATGTATTTTTTGTCTTGCGTTTTTGTCTTAATTCAATTTCCTTCTGCAAATCTAATGGAGTATCGAACCTTAACCGAATTGCAAGTGGATCATCCTCAGGCCTATCTAGATCAAATACAATGAACTCACCCTTACATAAATAGCTATTAATAACCATTGAAACATTTTCACATCATCAATATATCGATCAACAATTTTGGGAACATCTTGGAGAGAACTGCCACCACTAAACATTACTAAGTGTGAAATATTCTCCCAAATAATTACTGGGACATGATGATATTTTTGTGTTATGTAAATTGGACTAATATTCCGATGGCGTCCATGTGTAAAGAATAGAATAATCCGATTTTGTATAGACTCAGAAGCAATACATAAATCTTCAAAGATAATAACAGTACTTCTTTTGGGAGAAAAAGATTTTACATTGGGAATTCTTTTAGGCGAGATATAACTAAATTTAATATTTTCATAGTATGGTGCTCTTGGATCACTTGCGATTATTCCATACATACATCTAACAAATATCCATTTAGGTTCATCCACAAACTATCAAATCATCACGTCATATATATCTGGATCTACCCTTTTTCCCTTTATATATACATTTACCTTTGTCACCAAGAACAATATTTCAAATATATTAGTTGTATCACTTTTTTCAGTAGCTAGCATAACGAATGGCCATGACATTGCTGGATGTCCAATACAGCGTGATGATGTTTTGTAGCCTCATCCATATCCATAAGGAAAAGTTTCATTGGATGTAATCCTGCCTTTGAGTTTTTCTGCATGTTTATTTCTATAGAAAGGTAATATATATTTCTTAATAATTTGTAGCGAATATATACATGAGTAATTTTTTCGCTATATATATACAAATAATTAACGATGTATGATGATAGCTATTATAAAATGATACACTTTCATTATTGCCATTCTGAGGAATGTTATGAAAATTTGTTGAGGAATATGGATGGAGAAAAGGATAGAGACTTGATTGGTATTTTACTTATCGGGATTGGTTACACCTATTTGACAAGATCAAAAAGCATTGGAATGAAAAAGAGGTTGGACGATGAAGAGAGAAAACTCTGCAAAAATTCGTATATAACATATCAGATATAAAGAATCCAGAAGCACTACTTCAAGAATTTATGAATTCTAATACATTTATATTGGCAGAAACTATAAGCTTGATAGAAGAAAAAGAACTTTCAAATATTACATATGACATATGGGGTAAAGTTAAATGTCCACCTTTATATTTCGAAAGTGATTCTGAAGAAAGTACAAGTAATATGTGAAATCAAAGCTAACCTGATATTCCACATGTGTAATAAAAATCTAATTCATATGTCTATCACAAATCTTTCAACAAAGTATATTTCATGTATTAAGTATCCATTGAGGTGGAAATTATATATCCTTAACAATTTGAAGTTCTTGTACAAATGATCTTTCTGGTCCATCAAGTAATTTGTAAAGTACTGGTTGATTTTCTTGAGTAATAGTTTTTTTAATATAATAAATCTGTGGAGACCAACACACATCTGTAATATGACATCTTCCATCTTCTAACTCACCTGGTTTAAGCAAATATCTTACTGAATCATTGTAAGATAATTGAGGCTCATCAAATCCAATAGGGCCATTACAAGGTGAAGAAGATTTGGCAATAACCTGTTTCTTTTTTATTGTCTCCATAAGACTCATTCCAAGAAGTCGAGTTATAGAATTATTGAAATCCTTAATAATAATCAGAAGATTTTTAACCCAGGTCCAGGATCTCTCAGATAAAGGTAACAATAAATCAGAAGTATCTTATAATCAGAATAATCTTTCAGCTAATGTTTGATTAAATCTTTCAATAATACTTTGACTGCAATATGATAAGCCTAACTTAATATTTAATCATTAATTCTTTATATTTTCCATAAAACTCAATACCCTTATTAACATGTAACAATTTTAATCAAACAAGAGGGTATTCAGGATTATTATAAATTTTTTCAAATACTTTAGCAACTTTGTAAGAAGTACGATCTGTTAGAGGATATGCAATTTTAAATCTGCTGGTTATATCAACTATTACAAGAATAAAATGATAAGTTTTATTTCTAATCTGATCATAAAGTATATAAAGAAGGTCTACTTAATGGCATTTGTTAAGGATTTGTATTGTATTAAATGATGCTCAAGGAATATACTTTGGAGGTGACTTGTGAATCTGAAAAATGGATTGTTTATTTAATCAGTTTTTTATATCTGTTAACAAAAAATTATAACTAGCTTTTTTACAAGCATCTCTTATTTTTTCAACAGTTCAGTAATAGCCTTCAGATTAATAATATAGTTTCTGTAATGTAATTTCTCTACTCAAATCATAAACCTTCTGAAAATTAATATAAATTATAAATTCCCCCATTCCTTAATATAAAATAATGAAACTTTATTTCTAATTTATTATAGTTAATAAAAAATTATAAAAGAATTAAGAAAAGAAAATCAGAAACTTCATGAAAAAATTGACTGACTGGCTTAATTAAACAGAGACTATGAACAAAGAACTTATAACCTTGAATATAATATAGTCTTATGTGAAGAAAAAATCTGATATCTTGAAAAGGAGCTAGCAAATACAATCAAACTTTCTATACAAAAAAGAGAAGAACTAGAAAAGGAGATTACAGATCTAAAAAAGATTGTCTATCAGCTAAAAAAAAAAATTGAACAAAAGAATAAGGAGTTTATTATTAGAGAAAATCAATTAGCTGAATTTGACATAAGGAAGAAAAAACTTAAAATCCAAATTCAGAAAATATTCAAATCAACAGGTAATATTTTCAAAGTATATAATCAGATAGCAAAGTTAATAGATGAGAAAAAGTGTTTAAAATATAAAATTGATACTTAAACCCTATAAAAACTATGATATTTAAAATAGACTTAAAATATATTTAAAATATATTTAAAATATTTTTTATTAAATATTTTTTAAGTATATAAAAAGCTATTTAAAATATTATTATTTTATAATTAAAATATATTTAAAATATACTTAAAAAATACTTAATTTAAATAATAAGTAAATATGTTTTAGGTATATATTTAAAATATACTTAATTTTAAATATGTTTTAATAATATTTTAAGTATGTTTTAAATATATGCTTAAAATATACTTACTCATTATCTAAATTAAGTATTTTTTAAGTATATTTTAAATAAATTTTAATTATAAAATAATAATATTTTAAGTAGATTATTACAAATATAATTAAGTATATTTTAAATATATTTTAAATATATTTTAAATATATTTTAAAAATATTTCAATAATATTTTAATTATATTTTAAGTATTTTTTAAATATGTATATTTCTTATAGGAAAAATATAATCTTAAAGATCAAAACAATAAATTATTTCAGAAAAAAACTCGTATTATTAATTTGTATTGTCAAAATTTTGATATAAGATTATTACATTATTGGGATAAAATAGAACTTATTAATATCCAAGAAACTTTATATATAATAGAAACATGGAACAATGATAATAGATCAAATTTAGAAGAAGATTCTGATGAAAATTTTCAGAATAGTAATACTTTTAATTCAAATATGACTACAGTATTAACTAATGTTATAGATGGTTATTTAGATAATACTAGAATAAACAGAATTATTCTAGTTAATCAAATAAAAAGAATCACAAAACAAATTCATCGTAAATATACAAATCTCCAAACTGATCAAATAAATGAGTAACAAGCAAAATATAATACTGAAACTATATATGTTCCCAAAATTGATTTTGGATTTTTGAGGTATTTCAACTTTTTGAGATTTATGCAAAATCTATTCTATATATGGAAGTAAAAAAAGTACCTAGTTATATGTATCTTTAATCAAAGAATAAATCTGGGTGGTCAAAAAATTTTGAATTTTAAGTAAAATAATTTCGTCTTTTATGAAAAACTATTTTGACTTTTTTTCTCAAAATTGCAATTTCGGAACCCAAAATAATTTTGCATGCAAGTATAGTCATGACATTACTGAAGCTTCAATTGCTAATAAAACTTCTGAACAAATTAATGCTTTAAAACATCTATCAAAATAATTATCTATTATTGAAATATTTAAAAAACCTCTTAATTCTAAACAACAGAAATTATTAAATCAGGAAATAGTAAAATTTATAATTGGAACAAGACAACCATTATCTATTGTTGAAAATACAGAATTTAGATCCTTTTGTATTGCACTTAATTCTCAATTATCTATTCTTTGCATTAATACAATTAAAGATTTAATAGATAGTTCATATAATTATATGAAAAATCAACTTAAAGAGATGACTATTAAATTTATTTAATATATTCATTTGATTTTTGACTTATGGTTATCAAAAGCATATGATTCATATTTAGGCATTACTGCCTATTGAATTGATAAAGATTTTGAGATTTACAGTTTAGTTTTAGATATTGAAGAAATACAATATTCACATACTGCTGTTGAAATTTTTCATCATGTATCAAAAGTTTTTAATGATTGGAATTTGAAAAAAAAAGTTTTAATAATTTATCAGGAAATTTAATTAGGCGTCGATTTACAAAAATATCACATGACCTCTGAAAATTTTCACCT